ACATTTCCAGGGCAGATTTGCTTTTAATCACTCTGTCCTCTCCATGTCTTGGTGGATGTCAAACAAGATAATACAACTTCTAAAAGCAATATGCTTGGAAGTCTGCTTCTTAGGTACAGATTAGAGTATACTTAGTCAATAAAAATGTGCAATTTTCTGAATAAATGCCCCAAAGTGCATGACACCATCAGATTAGGAAAGGCAGTGTGGGGACATCTAACGCACAAAGGCACATCACACTGTGATGAGAAGAGAGAAGAACTTCTGAAATGGATTGAATAAGCCCTTGGGATTTTAGAACTGGAGCTTTGACCCTGATATGAAAGAAATCCCAAGCAGGCTTTAAGATGCAGCATGAAGTAGCTATCAGGGACCTAAAAACATTTTTGCTTAAGGCTCAAATACAAGTGAAATAATCTGATTACTCAGATTCGAAATAATTGTTTGTGTTCTTGACTGTACAGTCATTTCTCACATAATTCTGGATAAGGATGAAACTTGATAACTGGTAGACTGCTTCCATGCTAATAATATTCCCAAGTCAGACGGTTTCCTCATGCCACCACCTGTAAAAAGGCAACAGCACTTGCTTGTACCTCACACGAGTATCGTGTAAATAAGTTCACGACGGCATGTGCTGAGCCCTTGGACAAGAACTATGAATTGAGAAAACCCATTAGGAGACAACTGTTGCCGAAGGAGGGTGCTCTGAACTAGATTGAGAGTTGTTCCATTTTTACAGGGAAACGCAAATCGCTCGGAAGAAATCACTTCCCAGGCAGTGCAGAGCTCAGCTGCAAGCTCTGTGAGGACCACCAAGGGCAGGAGGGAATCTTTTATCCCGGCTTCAGCAGCAAATTCTGTCTATGGCGCAAGACCGATGTCAGAAGCTGCGCAGTTCCACCCCGACCCGATCCACCTTACGCCGGCTTAAAGCCAACGCGACAGACAGTTGGCTGGCAAAGACCAAAATGTGGGAAATCTCAAGGGGAAGTGAGATTTTTCTCTTTCCCTGAAGTTTTCTTTTAGGTGAATAATGCCTCCATTTTTAAGGAGTTGGCAATACCAGCCATACAAAGGCAATGGATGCAAGCAACGTCCGTGCAGAGCGCTGAGAACCGGAGTAACCCTATGAAAACGATTTTCCCACCGCTTTGTCTTTTTCAGCCCCACACTCCTCTTCAGCAACAGAATCTATTTAAAACAGCTCTGTGGTACCACAGGATGGCTGGTCTCTTGTCTGCTGCAGACATCAGGTGCAAGTGTAAATAAGGATTATACAAATGGGAGGTCATTAAAAGTCTGGTAATGCTAATTTGGCATGACACCCCTAATGGGTTATATCTTCACACTTCAGTTATCTAATCACCTAAATTCTTTTAACAAATTTACATTTCATCTTATACAAGGAGATTCAAATTGACTTGTTTAATTCTCCCTCCATCCAAACTGCACCCATGCTCAGCTCCTCTTATACATTATATATCATCAATTTTGAGATCATCATCAACTGCATATACACACAGATGATAGAGCTGCCCATCTACATATTTATGCATTCAAAACTTCCCTTGCCTCTAATTATCTTCCCATTTTTCACAAACTTTTCAGATCTCAGGAGAACCACAAATACTCCTCATCAGAAAAAGCATCTCAGCTTGAAATTCACCTTGTTGGTAGGATACTTCCAATTTCCTAAGAGAAGTGAAAGGGAATAAAAGTGACTTTTAAGTTAATAACTTACATGTCACGTTTGAATCCATTCCCACAGTCACGTTTTACAATGTTGTCTTCCTTAAACAGTGAACTAAACGTATAAAAAAGCCCTAATCTGAGGAACTGTTCACTTTCCCTAGATTGTTCAGGAAAAGTGACAACAAAAGGAAAAAAGCATTAAACTCTTCACATGTACGTAATACTGAGATTTGATGTTACATTGAAGGTTTAACATCCCAGTTAGAACATCCCACTTGCACAGACTTATTTTCTTAGCTCGGAGTCCTCATGAGCTAAACACAAACTAAAGAAACGTAGCAAAAATCCACCTGGATTACATTAATAGAAAGCTGAAGTCACTGCTACAGTAACTGCACTTGCACATGGAATCATTCGTAATTAGAGAGGTGGCTGCCTAATACAGCCAACTCTTGATGACAACATGCTACTATGAAATCAGTATATACTTGTGTATTTTACTCTGATAACCGGCTTGCCTAAATGTACCAAAGGCACACTTATTTTGGTTTTGTGTATGAAAAATACATGCAGAACAGAATCCAGAGGAGCAAATATACTTCTCCACTTTCTTTATGTTGACCTAAAGTAACTACACGGAAGTCAGGTGATTTATGCAATACTTATATAGCAGCTTCTGAAACAGATTTCAAACTAGTAAGTGGCCAGTTGGTGCAAGAAAGCACTTACGGACTCAAAGACAGAAGAAATCACACGCTTAAAACACACCTGAATACTTTTCTGGAATTCTGAACTCTTTTCAGAGTCTTTCCTAAACGGAGAGTTTCCATAATAACTTTAAACAGCAGCAAGAAAAGCTGAATGACTTCAGGAACACTGAGAACAGCTCATTTCTTTCAAAATGCTATTTCAGACAAACACATCAGATAAAGAACAGCCAAGTGTGACCATTAGCTCCTACATAACTACATGTATACAAAACAAGGGGCTTTGTTTTCCGATTGATTGGCTTCTTCACTATAATATATTTTCCTATCACCAATAGTTTAAACACAAATTGAGAATTTCTTAATCCATTTTATATAGATTTTTAAAATATCCTTGAGTAGATAGTAGGCTTGTTTTTTATCTTCTTCCGTAAGGAGGAATTCAAATAACAGCAAAGTACTGTGTTATGGTTATACAGAGGGTGGTAAGATGCTTTATTTTTTAAAAATATGTCCCTGTAAGGAAGAGAGGGAAGGAACGGGAGAGAGGGAAGAGACGAGCACATTTCAGTTCCACTGGAAGGTGACAAGTATAAACAGAATTTTCACGTTAGGATTCATCAGGCTGCTGTTAAAGATAAGAAGACCAAGTTCCAGTGCCTGGAATTAATACAATACCAGTTTTAGCACAAGGAATACTGCCAAAGGAAGAAAAAAACATCAAAGAGTCATAGGTGTGCTAATAAATAACCTCATTACTGCTCATTCATTTACTACCACTACCAATGTTTCTGGACTCTTTCATTAGCCACATATACATAAGAAGCTTTTCACAACAGTCTGGAAGGCCGCTACCCCTCTCTTCCACTACATCCCTTTTTTGAAAGTCCCACTGTTAGCAATAATTTACTGATATTTATTGCAAGACTGAGGTAATTGGGATAGCCAATGTATATTGACATAACATTTTTTTCCATTAACAAAAAAATGAAAAGCTTCCCAGCACCCGAGTTTGCATCTTACAGCCCTTCACCACTGTTCCATGTTCTCATCTAAAACATATCCACCTCCAATTTCACTATCCCAGTACTCCCAGTTCCACTTCACCATCCCCAACTCTTGCTTGGACAAAGTAAGTACCTACAGACTGTTTCAAGCAACACGTATGCTAAGAGTCACGCCAAACCACATCGCAGCTACCTGCTCCCCAGGGCACTAGTCTAATCTCAATCCTCTACATAGTTGCTGATCTCCACATTTTTTTAAAGGCACGGAGACATCTACCTCCTTCAAACAAACTGGAGCCAGCCAGTTGGACTTGCTGCAAGTCCTCAGAGTGGGGAACACAGATACACAGCTAATCAATGCCAGCCTTACTCCCCAGGGTGTCCTGCTAGGTTAAGAGTGGGCTAAGGCACGAGCAGGACTCCACGTCTGGAGACGTCCTTGAGCTGAACCCAGGCACTACAGGTTATCATTACTGATCAGCTTTCGCTGTCCATAGCCAAATTTGATGGCAGAAGACTGTAAAAAAAGTCACTCGAGGTACATCAGGTTGGGTTCATGCAGGCACGCTCCCTTGCTTCAGCAAAAAGAATCAATTGGCTTATACAGGTAATACCTGCAGCTTGACCGTTATGATGGAAATCACAGATATGTTAAAAATGAGCACAAATACGATTGAAAAAGGGTGGCACCAGTCTTACACAAATACTCATGGAGAAATGCAGGAGCAAGAAACTTATTACAATACCGAGGTTTTTAGCTCGTGTGATGGCAGCTACCCTCTCCTCTACAACGTACTGAAATCTTCTGAATCTTAAAATACACAAGGCTACACAGACAAAGCTGCAGACAATAAACTAGGTGTACAAAGGACAAGGAGTACTGCATGGAAATGCAATTACTTAAGATGAACTCTCCTCAGTAACTCCCTCTCAATTTCACAAAGAACACGTTATAAGTATGTTTCTACCTAAAAACAATATATGATTAGAAAACATTAAAAGAAGAAAGACTGTATTTTGCCACCTGGTATTTGCTCAGTGGCTATAATTCTGCACTTGCAGGCAGAGTTTCACTTAACATCTCATGACAGCAACACCCAAACAAAACAAAAATCAAAGAAGCCCACCTTCTTTCTGAGCTGTAGGTTGGCTACCCCATGGGAGGAAGTGGCTGCACGTCTCCAACTACTGTTAATGTGGACAACAGCAAAAAACCTTAACCCATCTCACCCAATTGTTCCTGGTATTTCTAATATCCAGGCTCATTTACACCTTTACTTTGCAATCCCTTCGCTCCCAGTAAATTTGTGTTTAGCACACTTACAAGCATACGCGGTACCGCTTCTGGCTCTAAACTACAGCGGAACAGGATGGAATGAAATAAGCTTCTTGTCTCACTTGCTTGTGCTCCTACAAAGTATTTGTTTATCTAGAGCCAGTCGCTGCTCCCGTATCTATGTAATGACTTCCTCACAGCAGCCAGAGATTACCCACACCGCTGATCACTTTATTACTTCAGAATGGCTGTTTATTTACTTTAGTGCAGCAGGAACACGCAGGGATAAAGCTTGCAGCAGCTGGGAAAACTCACCATATTCCTTACGCAGGTGGTCTGGAATGTGGGGCTCATAACCTTCCTTCTCGGGGACCTCCACAAATTCATCTTCGTCGTCGTCGTCGTCATCATCATCATCATCATCATCATCCACATCTTTCATCTACAGAGATATTTTTGTTGGTTTCAAAAGCCGCTTTTCATTTCCCTCCGCACTGAAAATATTTCGCAGACATCTTGATAGCCCTACTGAGACTGCTCTATGTCAAAAGCGTTCCCCTAATTATATATTTAATCTTTAGATAAAGATTAGGCCTTTGCTTAACATTTTATCTCTAAAGCCATACTCTATCCTAAGGGCTTCTTTAAAGTCCCTTTTATCCATTCGAACACATGCAGTTGGCGAAGTCTGAGGAAGTGAGAAGATATAAAATAAGTCCAAAAAAAAAAATCTTAAAACAATATCAAGATTTTAACTTAATAAGAAAATTATAGCCTTATCTATTCTCTGGTTGATTTTACTCATTTAGCTGCACCCATGTCTGTGGCATGTTAAATAGTATCACCAATTGTTTAAAGGCAGGCAAACAGGAGGGGAAGCTGTGGGACTGCCAAGCTAATACTGACCAAAGAATGAATATTCAGATCTGTATACTACAGATCTGTTTCACCATGTTTCTTCACAACAGCACCAAAAATAATTTGAAGCATTCTTTTCTTAACTAATTTGGTGCACTCTAACCACTCACACCATCGAACTGCACATACTACCTTGGTCAAGACCAACAAAATGCAATTTTTAAAATGTGCACTTGGTCCGTATAGCAGTCTGAAATTGGGTATCTACGACGCGATGAATAATAAAAATGGAGTACCTACCAAGTAACCAGGGTAATTCATTCATGTAAGTGGCTTCCTATACACCTTTTCATGAGCTACTACCACGTATGTGCCAGCAAGTCTACTTTTTATTTTCCTAAGCTTGTTCCATGCCTGAAAATGAATTTTTCTTCTATACTCCACATAAGCTAAAAGAACCTGTGCCACCTCTGAAATGGCCTACACTATCAGAACTTTAAAACAGTAAATGCCAACTATGGTAAAAAGGCAGCAATGATGGAGATTTTATGCTTTCTTTCCTTTGCTCACCTTTGGAGTCACCTAATTCTTGAAAACAACATAATTAGTGCATTAATGTTCATGTGTCATACACTTCTACAAGTCTAGGAAATAGTAAGGGTATCCACTAAAGTCCAGCGCATCACAGGCCATCTGTTTTTTCAACTTCACCCCAGTAGCCAAAACAACAGATATGGAAAGGGATCATTTTTACTATTTTCAGCCACATTCTTTACTTCTCTTGCTGCACCTGACTTACATTGATATTCATATCAAGCGCTCATTGCTACAAGCACTGGAGGATACTGCAGGTTTTGCCTGCAGCAGAATTTTCCCAATTTAATTCACTCCTCTAATCGTGTGTCACAGCTGCACAGCTGAGTTCCTTTAAATCATACATATACTCTGAAGCCAAAAAACCTAGAAACCTATCTTGGTTTATTGAATGCAGTTAAAAACATAAAATAAATAATTATTTTAAATTAGCATTTCTTTTTGGTCAGTATTATTAGTTCACTCCAGTTTACAAGTCTCTAAAAAAAAATCATTACACTTATTGATATACTTTAACATATAATGAATGGATAGTGCAAGTTAGAAGTAAATTCTTCCCTTAGTTTAAAAAAAAGACTCTAAGAAAGTTGAAGTTCCAATAATAATAATAATAAAATTACTGTCCTGAAGAACAGAGTAGATTTACTACTTCATCCTTACCAGAGTACACCTAATTAGTCTCCATTTAAAAATCAAGTCCCAACATAATCTTGCACAAAAGCACCCCAGTGCCGAAGACAGGTAATGACCACAAGCCAAATTACTGCTACCTCAGATGCCAACCCTCAGGCTGCAGGATCTTGCACCCTAGTTTACTTTTTGTTTCCCACAGCAATCCTTTTTCCTCATCAAAAGGAAAGAAGCAATCCAGGCCCTACTCAGCACGGCCAAGACAGATACGTGCAGCAGGAACCAAACCAGAGAGTATGAATGCAAAGAAAGGGTCAAATATTCCACCACTAATCACAACCTTGCAGAGGCACTAAACACGAAAGAACATCTGTGTTAAGCTGCAATTTTTAGAAGACCTTCCCAATGGCCTTTAGAAAGAAAACAGGGGACATAGATCTGTTGGAACGAGTTCAGAGGAGGCCACAAAGATGATCCAGGGGATGGAGCAGCTCTGCTATGAGGACAGGGTGAGGGAGCTGAGATTGTTCAGTCTGGAAGAGAGAAGACTCCGGGGGGACCTAATAGCTGCCTTCCAGTACCTGAAGGGAACCCACAAGAAGGCTGAGGAAGGACTTGTTACAAAAGTGTCCATCGCCAGGACAAGGGGAAATGGATTTAAGTTAAAGGAAACTAGATTTAGGTTGGATCTTAGGATGAAATTCTTCAGTCAAAGGGTGGCAAGACTCTGGAGTAGATTGCCCAGAGATGTCTGGAACATCTCCCTAGAGACATTCAAGGCCAGGTTGGATGAGGCCTTGGGCACCCTGGGCTAGTTTAGGGCACTGCTGCCCATGGCAGGGAGGGTGGATTAGATGATCTCTAAGGTCCCTTCTAACCTGAGACATTCTACGATTCTATGAAAAAAATCTGCAGCTTTTGTACTCCACACAACAGAAGAAAGCTAAAGACTGACAAGAAACTAGTTTGCATTTTGGTTTTAGAATTCTGCTCTTCTTGTCATCCCCTTTTTACCTGTTAGGGGCAATTTAGTAAGTTCGAAAAAAAAAAAAACCAAACACCTACTCCTATTTCTTCATGTAAAAGCAAGGCAACATCATATTTCCCATACTCATGTTCCACTTCTGATTTAGCTATGAAAAATTATTTCATTGGGCTAAATCTTGTCCTGGATGATCTTAGCCTACACCTTGGTGCCACAGAGTAAAAAACTGACTACCTTTCACATTATAAAACAGAGAAAGCAAATTCAGTGTATTTCAATAGTTTTTACTCAGAAGTAGTCTGTAAACAAAAAAATAGCAACAGGTTTAGGGACTTGAGAAACAATGTGAAACTAGTAAGAGAAAGAAAATTCAGTTCAGACTGATCATCTAATTTAAATCACCAGATTATACCTAAAATATCAGTGGCCATACTACAAGTACTCATGTACGTGTTGCATCTGAGAGGACTAGAAAGAACGCAGAAGTGTACTATCTTTAATTGAAATTTCTCCCAATTTGTTCACATGTCGCTGGAGGTACATAGTTCCCTGTACATTAATATAGCAAAATCCAGGGGCCTTCACCGACCCTCAACTTGAAAACTCCATTAGAAGCAACTTTGCTGTATTACCTGCAGGGTCTAAAACTTGAAAGCACATGAAAAGCCTGATGGAGAAAAGGCATAATCAGATGCAAATTCACTTTGTTTAGGTACAATCCATGAACTGTGCATTCAAGTACTATAGAAAACATTAATCATAGCAAACTGTAATTTTTGTTATCAGTCTAACACTAATCAAAAGGGAAACCTGTCACTACCGCTGACCTGTGAAACGTCCCAATTATACTCTTCGGAAATGACAGGAGCACTTAACTTCCTCACTGAGTAAATGACGACGATCAATCAAGTTTGAATAACAATGAGCCACGGAGCTGAAAATTATTTTTTGTATAGAATCTACCCAGGAATTTATGAAAGGTGAAAAGCAACCCAAGGTTTTAGGGGCATTATGGCTTTCAGCTAGTGCAAAGCATATCAAACACTAAACAGAATTTATGTGTTTTAATTTTCTAAAAGGTAGATGTGGACTTGGTGCTACAATGCATAACATATAATGCCAGATTTTAAATATGAGGGTCATTTTCATAAAATATTATGCTTATTGTTCACACCCTTCAATTTCCCTGGGGTCTTCTATTAAATTTAGATTTCCTGTAAAAAAAATTAACTGCTTAGCTAACTATAAGGAATTAAGTCCCCTTATCCCTTCAAACAGACAAAGTCTTTATTCTGATATCATCTTTAACAAGATAAATAAGTTATCTTTTTACTTTAAAACGTTAAAGTCATCCCTGGTGGAAATTCAAGAAGTTGTACAGTAGTAGCAGGTGGTTACATCTCAATATACTTCATTCCAGTCACACTTCACCAGAACCATCCATTTATGTTGTTTTGTTCCATTCCCTTTCTATAGAAAGGAGGAAAGCTCATGGGCAATGTTATTAGTCAGAAAAGAATATTTTTTTTTGGTAACTTCACTTTTCAAACATGAAGACCGCTCCAAAGCAAGCCCTACAGGTGCAGTATGAAAGTTCAGCCATCCATTTTCTACTTTTCCACTACAGGTAAACTTTTACAGTGAACTGAAAAAAAAAAACCACAACCCTAAAATCAACCTCAATTAAATCAGAGGAAATAAATATTTAAAGACAAGATTTTGAGTGGCAGAATTAGTAAATTACAATTGTTTAGGAATGAGTGGTTAGGTACTTGCAAAAAAAGAAAAACGAGACTGTGATAAAAACAAGTACTATGCCATTCCTAGTGTGCCATATCTGAAGGGAAGGATAAGCCTCAGTAAAAAATACTACAACGTAAAGTGCTTCTTGTAGAGCCCAGAATCAAATAACTCTAAGATAAGGAGTCACACAACTGCTTGTTTCTCAATAACCTGTCAGAGAACGTGAGGAAAAAAGGTGCCATTCTCATTAGCAGGGAAAGCCACTGATGCAGCTGCAGCCCTAGAAGAGGCGAGGGGTGAGCCCCCGCTCCCTGTCGCTGGCCGATGGCCCCTGTGGAGGGAGGCCAAAGAGACTTCAGGCATCAGAGGCTACTTGCACCATCGCTGCTCCTCAAGTTGCATGGAGAAGGGAAGATCTTCTGCTCAAGTGTCAATCTGCTCTGTAACGCTGCCTGTTATTTACTTATTCATTCATCTAAATTATTATTCATTCATCTAAATGAATTGTGCTTTTGCAAAACTGTGTATTGTTTGGTTTTTTGTTTTTTTAATGTAGTAGTATTCCTGACTAGGTGTCTCACTGTGAGAGGAAATAGGATTTAGCTAGCTAATTTCCAGATTCTTGGGCTGAA